AACATATACCCGATATAAGTATTAATAAAAAGCTCGGACCAAAGAGGTCACCTTAATACCGAAAAAAAAAAAAAAAATACCAAAAAAAAAAAAAAATTCATTGTAAGAGTTAATATAACACTTACTATTTCTATGAAATTTTGATATGCAATACTTGGAAATTCTGCACTGTTTATCTCATCATTATCACTACATTCACTATTATTACTTAAATATTCATTAATAGTCTTATCATTTCTTAACATACTCTCTTCAGATATTTGACCAAATTCACAAATAACTATTTGATTAGTAATATCTTGTTCATTGAATGCTAGATTAAATTTTTTAAATGTTGAGCTAGATTCATCAGATAATAAATTAGATTCATCAGATGTTAAGCTAGATTCATTAAATGTTAAACTAGATTCATCAGATGTTTAATTAGATTCATCAATTGTTGGATTGGGTTCAGAACTACATTTGTCGATGATGTCTTGAGCATCAAATATAATTATATCTAATTCTGATTTATCAGAACTATAAATATCTGTATTCTCATCTGAATTATTTTCAACCTAATAGTCTTTGTGAACTTTGCTGTAATTTACAAAACACATTAGACAGTCAAATTTTTCTTTACACACATTACAAATAAACATTGTAAATAGCTAAAAAAAAATAATAGTAGTAAAATAAAATAAATAAATAACATATAAATGTCAAAATATTAATTAAAAATTACTTTAATCAAAGAGAATTTTATTACAAAATAATATTTGAGTTGCATGTTATCTAGTTTTTTTTTACTTTTCACTTTTGGTTTTTTGCTTTTAAAAAAATTACTAAAGATAATTTATTAAAAAATATTTTTGTTTTTGTAATATTTTTAACTTTGATTTACATCATTCACTACATCATAGCCTTAGTATTATTTAACTAATATCAATAACATTGTTCTTTTTTTTTGAACTAACAATTAGAATTGAATATTCTATATTATTACTATCCCTTAAACTGTTTTCTAGGCAAATTTGCCTGGATTTTTAAATTAAATTTAGTATTTTTTAAATAATACAATAAATTATTAATAATATGAGATACAGTTTGCTTATAAAATATTTTATTAAAAATATACTTTACAAACTTTATTAGAATTTTTTTTAAAATTAATAAAAAACTTTTGAGCAATAAAAATTTAAAGATTTTGTTTAAAAATTTTTATTATAAAAAAT